GGGAGAATGAAAGGCCATTAGAAAACTAAATCCCCTCATTTGTCAAATCCTCCTTTGGAATGGGTCAAAGATTTACTATGTACTGTATGCATAATTATTGAAAGTTACAGGATTGTAACTTATAAAAATCAGAAATATTGTATTACTACAATTTAGTTTTTGTCACAATTGTAAACCCCTCCTCTTTATGGACGCTCTAGCCCTTCCTTGTTTTATTCGTAATCTCCTGCACCTGCCTTCGGTTCCTGGCCCCGTGCTATTAAAGCCAGATGTTCCTGCCAATCTGGGCTCAGCTTTGGACGATGGATGCCCGGAAGCCCGCCTACCAGCGAGTCCAGGAGCTGCTCAACGGCATAGGCTTCAGAACGGCGTCCTGACCATCTGGGTGCTGGACTGGGAGCGTCCGGCCCCGTTACCCCCCTTTTATTCCCCCGACCCTTCACAGATCCCGCTCCGGCTTTTAACTCCGTTTGTCTGTGTCAGGATGGATCACCCGGATTTGGACATTGACTTTCCCTGGTTTATCTTACAGACTCCTTTGGATTTGTTTGCCCTGGACACACACACGCCCCTCCCCGAACACCAGCGCACCTTGGACACGCCCCCTGTTCTTCTTCCAGCCCCTAACCTAGTACCTAGTCTTTTTCCCTATGTTTTCTCTCTCCCTTCCGGATTGTGTTGTCTGCATAAGGTCCTGAAAGATGTGGCAGAGTTTGCCTCAATTCATATGGGAACTTGGATTTCTTCTCTTAAATTACATTCTGTTGTTATTTAATATAGCTGGTTGGCAATATTAAGAGTACCAGGGAAAGATCCTTTCCTCATTATTCCATTCTGTATGGAGTATCTCTGCTACAAGAGAAAACTCAGTACAATTTTCCTAGTTCAGTCAAAAAGAAATTCTCTCACTTGTCAGAAAGTCACTTAAAGACATTATTTCTTCTACCTCCAGTACAGTACATTAGTTTTATTCCACTGGTACTCTAAATAAAATAATGAAAGAATTTAAAAACCGTTAACATAGTTTTGAAAGTTGCTCATTCAAAGCCTTATAATGGAGCATTGCCCCTGAAAAATTAATTTGGAGATTACAACGATAAAATATAATGTGTATAATAATTTGAGGAGGTCATGCATATTAGCTTATTTTAAAAGACATGCTAAGAAACTTTGTTTTTTTTCTGTGACTTGTATAGAAAATGAAAAGAATACTGATAAAAGAACAATAAATAATATTTTTTGTTTCAGAATACTAATTATAACTCACAAGGCATTTAAAGGAAATTTGACATAGTTAAGCAAAGCAATATGATTTTTGTACTGACCATTGACATATAGCTTTATTATCCTGAAGGGCTGAATTACTTTGAGCTCTTGAGTGTGGAGGAGTTCATATTTACCAAATATGAGGCAACTGCATTGTTTTTTTCCCTTAGGCTTGAATGATTTCAGATAGATTTTCAATTGCACATATTTTACCTTTCGAACCAAGGGATTTATTGTTTTTTTCTGTTCTCCTAAGAGTAATTATTTTCTAAAAGGTAAGTAGTGAGTTTCTGCTTTATACATTATAGAAATGTGTGTAGGCGGTACAGTATTTTTATTTTGTCAAAAAGGACAGTGGATTTTCTAGATTTGGGTGGGGAAGGTCGCAATTCCATTGCCCTTTAATGCATTGTTGGAGGTAGTGTATAATTATTTTATTTTTTATGTGATACATTTTGTGGAGGATTATATTATGGGTTGGGATGCATTGTTTGAAGGTTATTGGTTGAAGAGGAGGAGGTTGCGAAATTACAGCAATTAAGTCAATGAGAGCTCAGATGGAATTAAAAGTAGAGGATCTTGTGACCTCAAGGTGTGATATTGAATTACCGGAAGACAAGAAATATTTTACATGAAATAAGTAAATGAGAGACTGACGCAAAATGTACCAGCTAGCTTGTCCAATAGTTTGCTCTCTTAAATCAGTGTTCCATGGAACCACGCTTCCCCTACCCACTGCTATAACTCCCACAGGTCTGTTCCAGTAGCTGAGCCATCAATCAGACTGCACCTCTCCGTGAAATTGCATCTCTCCTAACAAGTGAGGTATTATCATTGCTTTAACTTATATTTCTGGAAGCATCCTTTTAATGAGAAAAAATATTTCTTACTTATTTGTTTGGGATATGTAGGGCTTTTCCCGTTTTGATAGCTGAAAATGTATTTAGAGTCAACTTATTTTGCTTGTTTTGGGGTTTTTTTTAACTGGTAACTAGGCTAGATATTGACCTGAATACTATTTGAACCCTGTTATGAATGCTGGCTCACAAGCAGATTTACTTCACATCAACAGCACTGGCTGAAGGAACTGTTGTTCATATTGACTAAACCCAAACAGTGAGGGTCACATTGGCTTTAGAGATCCTGTAGGTTATGGTGGAACGAAATTTACCTGGATTACGTTTGTCATATAATATCAAATATAAAGGCAACACAAAACACACCAACCTTATGAATCCCTTTTTGCAAATATATCTGTATATAAAGCCAAATCTGAAAAATATGGTTTGCTGACATACTATACGTAAATTAAAATCTACTGTATATAAACAAAAAATAAATCTACCCATAAGTTTCAGATAGCAATTTCTGTACTTGGCCATGGTTTTCCATAGAAAATAATACAGAAGCTTCCAGAAAACCATGCCAAAAATGTTATATACTGGATGTGTAATTTTTGCATTGGAGGGTAAACTTAATTTTTTAATTCAGGCCTGAAATACTTTATTGGTAGACAGATTCAGAGACTATCACTGACTTTTTTTAATGCCATTTTCTCCAGTACAAATTCAATAGAAAACCATCATCCTATCATCTAAATCAATGCTTATATTACAAAAAAAAAAACATTCACTATTACATTTTTGAATGAGAATGTAGCAAAATGGTTATGAAATCCAGTCTGGTTCTATTTGTGATTTAATAACTCCAGTTTCATGCAACTATTTAAGTTCAGAATTTAGTTAAAATAAAACCATACCACTTTAACCCTAAGATGCAAAAAACAAAATGACATATTTTCTTTATGCATAAGATACTATAGTGCCTTGTCATTTCCTGGCTATTTATTTTTGGGTGAACAGGAAAGGAATTTGGGATGACATTAGCTTTGGGTGAATGAATAAAACGTGTATCTATGTACAGAATCTTTCATCAAGTCCAGATCCTAAAAAACTTTCCAAGTTCTTAAGCAGACACTGAATTGCAGTGCTCCTGCCAAGTCTGTATGGAGCTGATAAAGAATTTAAAGACAAGCGACTGAACCTGCTTTCTGGCTCACCTGTATCTGAGGTCTTCAACTGATTACTGATGAGTACTGACTGGTTGCCTGATTACTGAGTGCCAGAGCTTGTCCGTAGATTACAGCACTCCTAAAAAAAAGGAAAAGGAACAGAACTGGGTGTAAGCCAAGCAACATTTTCTGTACATAGAATGGCCACAGAATATTTCCTAGACTTTACTGAACTTGAGTACTGATGGTACTCATCCTACCCCACCCCACCCCCCACCCCCACTCCATTTGTAGGTAGCTACAACCTTCTGTGCATCTCAGTAGTATTTTATCAGTCAAAAACTGAGTCCATCCATCCATTTTCTAATCGCTTTATCTACTACAGGCTTGATGATGAGCTAGAGCCCGAGGGGGCGGTGTGGTACAGTATCTCTGTGGCTATGGATCTGCGCCTTTGGCTGGAAGGCTGCCAGTTTGTATCCCACAGCTGGCAGAGGAATCCTGCTCCATTGGACCCCTGAGCAAGGCTATTAACCCCAACTGCTCCAGGGGCACCGTATAAATGGCTGACCTGCGCTCTGATCCCAAGCTTCTCTCCCTGTCTGTGTGTGTCTCATGGAGAGCAAGTTCGGGTATGTGAAAAGACAAACTCTTAATACAAGAAATTGTATATGGCCAATAAAGTGATCTAATAAGATCTCTTATCTATCTCAGCAAGCAATGGGCACAAGGCAGGATACACCACTGGACAGAATGCCAGTCCATTTCAGGGCAGACACATACATACAGTATCTAGGCCCAGCTTTCCAAGAAACCAATTAAAATGCTAGTCTTTGGACTGTGGGAGGAAACTGGAGCACCCGGAGGACATCCACATGGACATTAGGATGCAAAATCCATATATTTAGTACTTCAGGATTCCAGTGCTGTGAAATCAGTCTGGCAAATCTGGGATACACTGATGCTGGAGTTGAGCAGGTTCTGTGTACTGGTATGTATAGCAGATTGCACAAGTGTTGCTATTGAATGTTTTCTAAGCATATAAATACATTAATATTCACCCCCTAATTTAATTTATCATTCTTTGCTAAAGTTAGGAATGATGTTGAAGAAACCACATCTGTGTCTCTAATTAACATGAGCTCAGCAAATGAATAAATACATATTGAGGCAGAAATAATTAAAATGAACCCAAAAGATTTTGATGGAAGAGGTAATTTCAAGATTTAAATGTTATTATTTCTGAATTAGATACCTGCAACAAATACAAAGTATATTTAATAATTAAGTCCTTCTGCATCATCTGCACAGAATGTTTTAAAGGAATTGCAGTTGAGACTGGAGGAGTCCCCCAAACCTAACTGGGGAAGAGCCCAGTTACCCATAAGACATGATCCTTTTAAAAAAGACAACTATGCATGAGAGTAGGTTTTGACTTTAGTGTTGAGAGAAACAGAGACCCACAAAGACTGTTACAGAGATGGGGGATGGGTGCGGCAATGCTGGGAATTTATTTTATTTTTTTGCACCTCGTCCATTCCCGGAAATGAGAGGCAAGTGACGCAGGTTGGTAGTATGCTGTCTTTGAGTCACTTAATGTGTCCATCTGTCTGTCTCTCTTGCCTCCTGCGCAGGAAGCTGTCTCTTTCTCTAAGAGAGCAGGAGGGAGGGAGGCTATGAGAGAGGATGGACTAAGGGGAGGGGTGTGTCAATATAAGAGAGCAGCATGACAGGAGCACTCCAGTTACTTCAGGAGCAGAAGACAGGACAGTACTGCCACATCCTGATTTCCAAAGCAAAGGACTCATCAGATTTCAACACAGAGAGGTAGGGATTGGCAGGGTTTTCATCAGCTTCAGCTCTGGGGATTGTTTCTGATTGGGGGTGAGGGCTAGCATCAATTGCTTTTGAAGAGACAGGTTCTCTTTTTTTTCCCCTGGAAGTGATCTCTTGCTCTCTGTGCTTTTCAGTTTGTGGAAGTTTTCTTGTCTTCCATTTAAACATTTGTATCTCTCATTCTCAAAGGGGCATAATTTTATGATTTTTTGGATTTTTGTTTCTTTGCATTTTCCAAGATCAAAAATAGATCTTTTTTTCATGTTTGTGTTCTTTTTCTATTGTCTTGTCGTTCCCTGTCTTGGACTGTAGGTTTTACAGGTCACTTGCTCGTATCATTTCTTAATGTTTCATTTACTCCTTTTCTTTTAAGACATTCCTTATATAATTTGTTTTCTGTTGTTAAATTTAAAAAAGATCTGCATGGCTTAGTTCACGTTCTTTGAAACAGTCCAGTTAAAAGTTTATGTTGTCCAAAATGTTAGTTTCTTCAAAGTGTAGTGTCTTTGCAGCTCTTATTCTTTTTATTTTTTCCCCAAATATAATCTACTTGGAAATTAAATCTACTATAATCTACTATAATCAATTTGGAAATTAAAATGACTGTACTCTACATTCTTCAATTAGTTCATTTTCATTACTCGGTAACTTTTAAATGATTTACACATTCTTTTTTAAAAAAAAATTACAAAAGATTTTCTCTCCTGCACTTAATTAATTTATTATCTTTGATATCTGCTAATATTTTTCTGCATTTCATAGACTAAAGGGGGCTATACTGTATATCCTTAAATTTATCTTCTGAGAGGCAATTTATGCACTGAGTCATTGAAAGTCTAAAAGATAAGTATTAAACTTTTTAAAATTTTCTAGCGTATACAGTATATTGTACTGTATATATTAAATAAAGTTGAATCCATTTAAAGGGTTGAAGTTTTTAACTTTTAGAACTTCAGTCATGGAGATGGAAATATTCAGCCTATCATAGCCTGTCACATTTAAGAGACTATAATAAGAAGTATGATTACCATCATCATATTACAATTATTTTTGGTTTGCAAAATGTATTAATGCAAATTAGCATGAAGAACAGAAATCTCAAATGCCATATGGAAGTCTTTACAAACCTGTTTTAATATACTCCTTTCCTTCATTCACTTCCTTCACTTTTATGCACAAACTGTCACACATTTTTACATTTGAAATACATTTGTTTTGTGTTCCTTGTTAATATTTTCCAACTCTTAGCTTTATCTAAAACTGTGTACCCACTGACTAAAACTTCATTCTGGTGTATTCCATCTAAAAAATTCCTTTTTTTGGTCTCGGGGTTAATTTGACAAAGAAAATGTACGAACTACATTTTCATTGATGAATTTCTGAGCTCTATATATAATACTATCGTACATGCTTTGTGTCTGTTTCTGTGAGGACCCCCCACATCATTTTTTTGTTAACATATAATCTGATTTGGAAATACTACACCTTTTTCCACATGGAGAATACTCAAGGTAGTACACATAATTCCAAGATACTTCAAATTTTTTACTATCTGCATATATTTTATGGGTTATATATTGATGATAATTGCACCTCTGAAAAATGGGGACTTGTCGAGAAAGGTAGTAAATAAGATAAATAGGTGTCTGGCTTTTGCTATTATTTTTTTCAGTGGATTTATTCTGCCATCACAGATTATCTTCACAGACTTCTGACACCATTAACAATCTCCAGTAATGAAAGGCTCTGGCCTCAGGGAAGGGGAACACTGTTGTGTGCTCTTTTCAAAGAAACAGTCTGTGCCAAGATAATGCAGGCGACTGGGGCAGGGAGATTAATATCTGACTTTGTGCGCGATGTTTCATGCTTTAAAATCCTACTGAGCCCGTTCACAACATGAGAATCTCACATTGCTTTTTCAATCTCGCACATTGACTTTTATAGCAATTGTCCTTCGTTAGCAAACAGCTTTTCGGAGAGTCTCTGCCTGATGATTGACAGTTGACACAATGTGTCATCATGCTTCCATCGCCGGAACACCCAAAAGTAACTGGTTATAGTCATCATGCTGATTTCTTTTTTTAGAAATGCGCACAAACCACGCTAAACATAAATAAGTGGTTCATTAATGAGATTTCTTCCAGTAAATGTTCACAGAAACTTCCTAATTCTGCAAAATGTTTGCAAGCTTCAATGTTGAAATTATACTGTCTCATGCACAACCCAGAAAAGACACTTAACCCCCCCAAAAATTAAAAATAAATCTAATGGTCTCTTTGCACTGAAAACCAAAATGGGATAATGACAAGGGTTTGCTAGTTAAGTAATTAAGATTAAGGGTCTGGTTATGAGATATTTCAAGTTCATATCCCAAGCTCAGGTTCAGGCTCATTACTGTTACTTGATAAAGTACTGTACATGAACTTACATTACTTAGGATCATTATGTATTGTTCCTTTGGATGAAAGTTAAAACCAAAGTCATATTGTAAATGCCTCTGCAGCAAGTAATTTGTGACACAAAGCTTGCCTAGCTTCTATAAGCCTCTCCTCTCTGGATATAGGTGTCTGGTAATTCATCAATAAAGAGGTAATTTGGTATATTTAAAAATAATGCATTTAATACCATATTATGACCTTTCAACATGTTATGTTTATCTCTTGCTACTGGGTAGTATGAAATTCTCTCCTGCAAGTCAAAATCAGGGTTCTTGATTTCCTTGAAATCATTGTTTTTGTTAAGGTGTCTCTAATGAAACAGAGATTAATCTAAATCTTCAACGTTGTAAGCACTAAATAGAAAAGAAAAGGGAGAGGAAAGGGTGTCCTTTAACAGTTTAGTCTGGAATAGTATGTGCTGTGTCAGTGATTAAGGAAAAATAAAAGAAGATTGTGACTATATTCTAATTTCCACCAAATAAAGGAATCAGGGCATAATGGAAAACATTTGCAGGATTTTAAAATAAGTCCCAATATGTACATGTACTTTCCATTGATTTATGTTGTGGTTCTGTTTGAGGGATTTCAATATGACATAGAACTGGATGGTCACATTGCACATCTGAAGATGCACACATGTTGCATATTGTACATTTCTGTTGTGACGTACTGGAGAGATGTGCTGAACCATTGAAAGTTTCAGAAAGATCTGAACATTCAAAGCAGTTCCTTATCACTATGTCTATAAGCGGTGTGCAACCTCATGAAACTGATGACTATAGTCATATAACAATTCATATATAACATATAACAAGTGTATGTATTTTATAAAAATAAGTTTACCGAATTTGGATATAGATTAATTTTTGGTGTCTTTGATATTCTGACTAACCATCAGCAACTTTGACGTAAATCACGTCAGTAGTGAGACTACACGTAGGTGATGAAGTGATTTAACCTTATGAATGTTAAATCCAGTGTAAAACAGGAAGGAAAAAGACAGTAAGGAATCAATATGCCCCGCTTATCATGAGAATAATATATCGTGGCATCTACTGTATATGTTGAAGGCTGGATTAAGTTAGCTCACTGTTGTTGACCATGTGGGGTGTTTACAGCTACAGCAGTACTTCCTAACCTGGCTAGATGTCACAGTCAAACACAGTCCATCAATGGAACTTCATGATCTGGGAGACCACGATTCATAACATCTTGCCCGTATCAGCGGGGTCCAACTGTTTGAGTTCTGGGAGGGAGTGTCCAGTGTTGCTATGCAGCCAGCTAGCCAATAATGATAGATCTCAACCTGGCTGCACAGCGCTGTCTTGATCGAGACTTTGGAGCTCATTTGCTGCCTCTCCTGCAGGCTCATCCTGACATACATGTAACAGCTTTCCAGCAGGACGACACATTAATTCCTATGATGCTCACCTAACAATGGCTTTCTTGCGAGTGTGACAGTTGTGCTATGGATGCCCAACTCACTTGACTTGGGTTGGCATGTATCATATGTGGTGCAGAGACCAGTGAAAAGCACTTGGCCAGGACAGAGAGCATCTGCAACCTAGTGCGATGAAACATACAGCTTGTTAGGCTTCCAGTGGTGGCCAAAACTATGCACTTTTTTCACTGGATTAAACCAAACTTTTTCAGGTTTGCTGAAAAATATTCTGTGTTCTTCTGTGTTATCATGCATCTGACAAATAAAAATTATCTTAATCCGATAACAACTAATGACCATCCCAGTCTGTGCATTGTTCTGTAAGTTGAGTACTTCTACCAGATTTCATGAGTTCCTCTTTTACATTACATACTACAGTAAGAAACTGTTCATGTCATAACCATATTTTGCTTCAATGCCGATGGTAAGAGACTTAATATGATTTAAGATTTTTGTCCTTTTAAAATCACACAGTCTCAGCTTTCCTGCTTTTCTGGTAGGTTTAATTGAATTTGCTTTGGATTAGGTTGTTCATCTAGTCTTTCACTGTGAAATAAATTTACATTTCTGGTATGATTCCTGTATTTCCCATTCTACATGTACAGGTAAAACTTGTTTTCATAGCAGAAATAAGATACAAAAATAATCTTTAATATTAAGATTGCATACTTTGTGGCTGGCTTCCTTCAGGGTCCTTGCTTGGTTAAGGTACGAAACAGCAGAGAATACAGAAGAGAAGCAGGGTGAGGAGAATATACTGTAGCACAACACAGAACAGTGAAAGTCCAAACTTTCACAGAACAGAGAATGTCCAAATGTTCACAGAACAGAAAAAGCACACACATGTCCAAATGTGTGTGCTTTTTGAACTCTGATGCTAAGGAAGGTTGAACCAGTACTGGTCAGTGATGGCATTGAAGACCTTGAAGGAAAACCAGGTTATTAATGATCCCTTCTGCAAACTGAAAAAATGTATATATATTAGAAAGCAGATTTTTTCTTAGAGTCAGGAAATCAGGTTTTGATTTGCAGTTTATTCTGAAATGGTACATCAAACATAAATGAAGTTACACATTTTATTGATGGAGACCAAAAAGAATTTTGTCAAAGCT